TTTGGGGGGGGGGGGGGGGGGGGGGCTTGCTGCAATTAGCCCAAACTGTTCGGACGCTACAGACAGAAGTTAGCAGATCGGCTGTACCGACTTCAGACGAGTCCCAAGACGCTTGTGGGGGTCGTAGAGAAAAACGGAGAAAACCATTGTGTTCGTGAGAGTCTCATCCTTCCATAGAGGGGTAATAGTTAATAGTTTAACTAGTTTGTAGTCCAAACCATTCGGACGCTACAGACGGCGGAGTGATGCCAGGAAAATAACCTCTCTAACCTTAACGTCAACAAAACGAAGGAGCTGATCGTGGACTTCAGGAGACAGCAGAGGGAGCACGCCCCCATCCACATCGACGGGACCGCAGTGGAGAAGGTGAAAAGCTGACCGGGGGCACACTGCCCTTCAGGACACCTACAGCACCCGAGCCACTGCCTGTTCACCCCGCTATCATCCAGAAGCTGGGACCGAGAGAATGAAAAACAGCTTCTATCGGAAGGCCATCAGACTGTTAAATAGCCATCACTAGCCGGCTACCACCCGGTTACTCAACCCTGCACCTTAGAGGCTGCTGCCCTAAATACAGTGGGGGAAAAAAGTATTTAGTCAGCCACCAATTGTGCAAGTTCTCCCACTTAAAAAGATGAGAGAGGCCTGTAATTTTCATCATAGGTACACGTCAACTATGACAGACAAAATGAGAATTATTTTCTCCAGAAAATCACATTGTAGGATTTTTTATGAATTTATTTGCAAATTATGTTGGAAAATAAGTATTTGGTCACCTACAAACAAGCAAGATTTCTGGCTCTCACAGACCTGTAACTTCTTCTTTAAGAGGCTCCTCTGTCCTCCACTCGTTACCTGTATTAATGACACCTGTTTGAACTTGTTATCAGTATAAAAGACACCTGTCCACAACCTCAAACATTCACACTCCAAACTCCACTATGGCCAAGACCAAAGAGCTGTCAAAGGACACCAGAAACAAAATTGTAGGCCTGCACCAGGCTGGGAAGACTGAATCTGCAATAGGTAAGCAGCTTGGTTTGAAGAAATCAACTGTGGGAGCAATTATTAGGAAATGGAAGACCACTGATAATCTCCCTTGATCTGGGGCTCCACGCAAGATCTCACCCTGTGGGGTCAAAATGATCACAAGAACGGTGAGCAAAAATCCCAGAACCACACGGGGGGACCTAGTGAATGACCTGCAGAGAGCTGGGACCAAAGTAACAAAGCCTACCATCAGTAACACACTACGCCGCCAGGGACTCAAATCCTGCAGTGCAAGACTTGTCCCCCTGCTTAAGCCAGTACATGTCCAGGCCCGTCTGAAGTTTGCTAGAGTGCATTTGGATGATCCAGAAAAGGATTGGGAGAATGTCATATGGTCAGATGAAACCAAAATAGAACTTTTTGGTAAAAACTCAACTCGTCGTGTTTGGAGGACAAAGAATGCTGAGTTTCATCCAAAGAACACCATACCTACTGTGAAGCATGGGGGTGGAAACATCATGCTTTGGGGCTGTTTTCCTGCAAAGGGACCAGGACGACTGATCCGTGTAAAGGAAAGAATGAATGGGGCCATGTATCGTGAGATTTTGAGTGAAAACCTCCTTCCATCAGCAAGGGCATTCAAGATGAAACATGGCTGGGTCTTTCAGCATGACAATGATCCCAAACACACCGCCCAGGCAACGAAGGAGTGGCTTCGTAAGAAGCATTTCAAGGTCCTGGAGTGGCCTAGCCAGTCTCCAGATCTCAACCCCATAGAAAATCTTTGGAGGGAGTTGAAAGTCCGTGTTGCCCAGTGACAGCCCCAAAACATCACCGCTCTAGAGGAGATCTGCATGGAGGAATGGGCCAAAATACCAGCAACAGTGTGTGAAAACCTTGTGAAGACTTACAGAAAACGTTTGACCTGTGTCATTGCCAACAAAGGGTATATAACAAAGTATTGAGAAACTTTTGTTATTGACCAAATACTTATTTTCCACCATAATTTGCAAATAAATTCATAAAAAATTCTACAATGTGATTTCTGGATTTTTTTTCCTCATTTTGTCTGTCATAGTTGACGTGTACCTATGATGATAATTACAGGCCTCTCTCATCTTTTTAAGTGGGAGAACTTGCACAATTGGTGGCTGACTAAATACTTTTTTTCCCCACTGTATGTACAGACAAGGATATGGAAGGATATGAGTACAGTGGAGGTAAACCTAAGCGTTGGGTAACAATGAAAGAGATAGCATCACTGGAGGCACCGATTGAGCCTGTCTCCGCGTATATGGGGGGTTGGACAAAGGAGCTCTCTGAGACAGGTTGAGCAGGACTGGGGGCTCTACATTGAAAAAGTACAGCTAGAACTAACCGAAACAGCAATAGGCAAGGCATATTGACATGGGAGAGAGGCATAAAGCTGTCACAGGTGCTATTCGAGAGAGCTAAGACAACAGCAGGTAATGGCGACGAAGGTTTGAGCTGAGGCTAAACAGGATACTGTGTAAAGGAACAGTCCAGCAGGCATCAGCTGTGTAGCTGAGTGATCATAAGGTCCAGTGAACAGCGATAAGTGAGTCCGGGAGCAGTTCAGTGGCTGCTACAGCACAGGCGAGCTGGAGGCACGGCTGTTGATTGCGTATGCTACCGGGCCGGGGCTAGCAGATGGATCTTTGTCCGGTTGACAGAGAGGTAGATAGCTGGGAGATGGGCCTGGCTCGAGGCTAGCTCAAGGCTAACTGGGGTTAGCTTCACGACAGTGGTGATTAGCCAACAATGACAACATCCATTTGGTTGCAGCTAGCTAGTTGCGATGATCCGGTGTTAAGGTCCAGTGATTCAGTGATCAGACCGCTAACAGTGGGTAATAGCAAGTAGCTAGTTAGCTGGCTAGCTGGCTAGTTTCAGCCAGAGGTTCTGGATAAAAATGTATGAAGAAACAACAGAATCCGTTCCACATTGGGTGAGGCGGGTTGCAGGAAAGTATATTTAGTTAAAGGATGGAAAGTGAGATTGAGAAATATATACAAAAAAAGACAAAAAAACTAAAAACTGGCTATTTACATGAGGACACTACAGAGAACACGACCGCACTGCTACGCCATCTTGGAATCAATATTGTGTGTAGATGGGTGAGGAAAAAAATATTTATTCCATTTAGAATTCGGGCTGTAAGTCGAGGGGTATGAATACTTTCTGAAGGCACTGTAGATACCTCAATTACCTCGTACCCCTGCACATTGACTCAGTACTGGTACTCACTGTATATAGCCATGTTATTACCTGGTACCCCTGCACATTGACTCAGTACTGGTACTCCCTCTATATAGCCATGTTATTACCTGGTACTTCCCTGTATATAGTCATGTTATTACCTGGTACTCCCTGTATATAGCCATGAAATTACCTGGTACCCATGCAAATCGACTCAGTACTGGTACTCCTTGTATATAGCCATGTTATTACCTGGTACTCCCTGTATATAGTCATGTTATTACCTGGTACTTCCTGTATATAGTCATGTTATTACCTGGTACTCCCTGTATATGCCATGTAAATGTACTCCCTGTTATACCATGAAATTTACTGGTACCCTGTATATGCATGTATACCTGGTACTTCCTGTATATAGCCATGTTATTACCTGGTACTCCCTGTATATAGCCATGTTATTACCTGGTACTTCCTGTATATAGCATGTTATTACCTGGTACTCCCTGTATATAGTCATGTATTACCTGGTACTCCTGTATATGCCATGTATACCTGGTTCCCCTGTATATAGCCATGTTATTACCTGGTTCCTGTATATAGCCATGTTATTACCTGGTTCCCCTGTATATAGCCATGTTATTACCTGGTACTTCCTGTATATAGCCATGTTATTACCTTGTACTCCCTGTTTATAGCCATGTTATACCTGGTACTCCCTGTATATAGCCATGTTATTACCTGGTACTCCCTGTATATAGCCATGTTATTACATGGTTCCCCCTTTATATAGCCATGTTATTACCTGGTCCTCCTGTATATAGCCATGTTATTACCTGGTACTCCCTGTATATAGCCATGTTATTACCTGGTACTCCTGTTAATAGCCATGTTATTACCTGGTACTCCTGTATATAGCCATGTTATTACCTGGTACTCCCTGTATATAGCCATGTTATTACCTGGTACTTCCTGTATATAGCCATGTTATTACCTGGTATTTCCCTGTATATAGCCATGTAATTACCTGGTACTCCCTGTATATAGCCATGTTATTACCTGGTACTCCCTGTTATATAGCCATGTTATTACCTGGTACTTCCTGTATATAGCCATGTTATTACCTGGTACTCCCTGTATATAGCCATGTTATTACCTGGTACTCCCTGTATATAGCCATGTTATTACCTGGTACTCCCTGTATATAGCCATGTTATTACCTGTATGGTACTCCCTGTATATTGCCATGTATTACCTGGTACTCCTGTATATAGCCATGTTATTACCTGGTACTCCCTGTATATAGCCATGTTATTACCTGGTACTTCCCTGTATATAGCCATGTTATTACCTGGTACTCCCTGTATATAGCCATGTTATTACCTGGTACTTCCTGTATATAGCCATGTTATTACCTGGTACTCCCTGTATATAGCCATGTTATTTTCTACTCCCTGTATATAGCCATGTTATTTTTACTTGTTATTTTTATTCATTATTTACTGTGTCACTATTTCTATTTTTTTAATTAAAAAACTATATAATTTTTAACTCTGCATTGTTGGAAAAGGAGCCGTAAATAAGCATTTCACTGTTAGTCAACACCTGTTGTCCACGAAGCATGTGACAAATAAAATATGATTTGATTTTAAGATTAAAGAGGTGTTCCAGTGCAGACATCCTCCTCTTTCTGCCTCACTCACACTCTTCTTCTCCTTCTTCTTCTCCTTCTCCTTCTCCTCCTTCTTCTTCTTCTTCTTCTTCTTCTTCTTCTTCTTCTTCTTCTTCCAGAATCAGAAAGAGTCTCCAAGGTGACGGCTGTGCTACTGAAGTCCCGGACCGGAGAGTTTGATCTGGAATCTATTCTGTTCCTGAAGCTCCGAGGTCTTGGTAAGATCAGATGACATCATCAGCTTCTAATCTTTCTCTCTAGATAATAATACAAGACAGAAGTAATACTCTCTAGCTTCGTCTTGGTCATGATTAAGGCCTGCTAGCTTGTTGTTTAACCAGCAGGGCTGTCTTATGTCTGGGTTCTCCAGGGATCTATGATCTAGGCTGTATCGGGGAGTGTGTCAATCTGGAGAGACTGGATCTGTCTGGTAACAACATCACTAACCTGGGTCCTCTCTCCTCTCTGAGACTACTAAAGATACTCAATGTGTCAGCCAACAGGATCTCTAACTTAGGTACAGATTATTACCGTACAGATACTCAATGTGAAACTGTCATGGGATGCATTTGCTTCACTGTTTGCGTGTGTTGGTAGCCCACTGTTTGATGGTATGTAAACAGTGTCCCTCTAGCCTAAATGTCTTTCTGATTGGTCTGTTTTTAGAAGCCATTTCCATCTGTGATGGTTTACAGAGCCTAAATGTGGCTGGGAACCTCATATCCAGGTAAACATGTATTTACTATTTACAGTACTGTGATATCATATCCAGGTAAACATCTATTTACTATTTACAGTACTGTGACATCATATCCAGGTAAACATGTATTTACTATTTACAGTACTGTGATATCATATCCAGGTAAACATGTATTTACTATTTACAGTACTGTGATATCATATCCAGGTAAACATGTATTTACTATGTACAGTACTGTGATATCATATCCAGGTAAACATGTATTTACTATTTACAGTACTGTGATATCATATCCAGGTAAACATGTATTTACTATGTAATCCATACTGTGGACAGGAACAGTGTCTAATAACAGGTCTAATAACAGGTCTATTAACAGGTCTAATAACAGGTCTATTAACAGGTCTAATAAAAGGTCTAGTAGTAACAGGTTATTAACCAGTCTAAGGACACAGGTCTATTAACAGGTTCTATTAACAGGTCTACTGAAAGTTAATAACCGGTCTATTAAACAGGGTCTATTAACAGGTCTAATAAACAGGTATTCATAACAGTATAGTAACAGGTCTAATAACAGGTCTATAACAGGTCTAATTAAAAAGGTCTTAATAAAAGGTTCTATTACAGGTCTATTTAACAGGTCTATGAACAGGTATATAACAGGTATAGTAACCGGTAATAACAGGTCTATTAAACAGGTTAATAAAGGTCTAATAAAGGTCTAATAACAGGTCTAATAACAGGTCTATAACAGGTCTATTAACAGGTCTTATAACTAGGTCTAATAACAGTTATTAACAGGTTCAATAAAAGGTCTATTAACAGGTCTAATAACAGGTTATTAACAGGGCTATTACAATGTCTATTAACAGGTCTAATACAGGCTATTAACAGTCTAATAAAGGTCATTAACAGGGTCTAATAAACGCCAGCGTCTATTAAAAAAGGTATATTAACAGGTCTAATAAACAGCTCTAATAAAGGTCTATTATCAGGTCTATTAATCTGTGTTTCTAAAATAATGGTCTAATAACAGGTCTATTAACAGGGTCGTAAATAAAGGTCTATTAACGGTCTAATAACAGTCTAATAACAGGTTAATAACAGGACAGGTTATAAAGGTTATTCACAGGTCTTAATAACAGGTCTAATAAACAGGTAATTATCAGGTCTATTAACGTCTTAATAAACAGGTCTAATAACAGTCTATTAAACGGTTTAATAAAAGGTCTATAACTGGTCTATAACAGGTCTTATTAACAGGTCTAATAACAGGACAGGTCTATTAACAGGTATATTACAGGTCTAATAACAAGGTATAATAAAAGGGTCTATATCAGGTCTATTAACTGGTCCTAATAACAGGTCTAAGAACAGATATATTAACAGGGGTCTAATAAACAGGTTATTAACTGAGTCGTAATAACAGGTCTAATAACAGGTCGAAAAACAGGACAGGTCTATATAACAGTCTTATTAAACAGGTCTATTATCAACAGTCTTAATTACACACGGTCTAATACCACAGGTCTATTTAACAGGTCTAAAACAGGTTGCTATGAGAGGGTCTATTAAACATGGTCGAATAAAACAGGACAGGTCTAAACATTTTTGTCTATTAACAGGCTTAAACAGGTCTATTACAGGTATAATAGCAGTCTAATAACAGGTTCTATTAACAGGTATCAAAACAGGGTTCTATTAAAAGGTGCTATTAACTGGTCTAATAACAGTCTATTAGAAGTCTTCTAATAACAGGTCTATTTAACAGGTCTATGAACAGGGTCTATGAACAGGTCAAGAACAGGTCTAATAACATGTCTAACTAAACAGGTCTATAATAAACCAGGACAGGTCTAATAACATTGTCTATTAACAGGTATATAACAAGGTATATAAACAGGTCTAATAACAGGTCGACTTAACAGTATACTTAACTGGTCTAATAACAGCGTCTATTAACAGGTTAAGTAAACCGGTTCTAATAACAGGTCTATTAACAGGTTATTAACAGGTCTAATAACGGGACAGGTCAATAAAGGTTAATAACAGGACGGTTCTATTAACAGTGTCTAATAACAGGGTCTATTAACAGGTCTATTAACAGGTCATATTAACAGGCTAATAACAGTTCTATAAACAGGGCTCTAACAGGTCTACAAAAGGGTCTATTAACAGGTCGATTTAACAGGTCTTCTCATAACGGAAACAGGTCTAATAAAAGGTCTAATACAAGAAGGTCTATTAACAGGTCTCTTAACAGGTCTATAAACAGGTCTATTAAAAAGGCTACGAAACAGGTCTATAACGGTCGAATAAACAGGTTAGTAACAGGTCTAATAACGGTATTTACAGTCTAAATAACAGGTCTATTAAGGTCTATAGTAACAGGTCTATTAAAGTCGATATAACGGGACATGGTCGAATAACAAGGTCCTAATTAACGGACAGGGTCTATTAACAGGGTCTATAAGGTAAGGAACTAGACACGGACATGAATCATTCGTTGCGTGTGCTTTTAACACACTCATTGGCAGTTTTGTTGAAACAAGTCTTGGTGCTCTATTGTGTGTTAATGGATGCTAGCTTGTAGTTAGCTACGGAGTCATGAGCTATGGTTAGTGGAGCTACGTGTCTTGGCAGTGTATTCCGCCGTGACGGCGTTTTGTAGACACGAAGCCAGGGATAATTAGCGTTTTTTGAACAGAGTCAGAGTACAAAACAAGTAGCCATGCTTGTGAAGGGTTGTTGTAAGCACGAAGCCCTAGCTAGCTAGCCGTTCTTCAACAAAGCCAAACACAGTGGCCATGCTAGCTATTCACAGCACGACCAGCGAACGGCCGCCCTTTTCGTGCGGTTAGTAAGCTAATGACAATATACTTGTCCGAGTAGCCAATGTTGAATCAGTGCTGCGTCATGAAAGGAACTTGACACAGACACGAATGATCTGTTTAGTGTGTTATCACACTATTGGTGGTTTGCTGTGACCAAGTGTTTGTGCTTGGCTGTGTGTTACTGGATGCTGGCATGCTGGTTAGCTAGTTAACACACTATTGGTGGTTTGTTGTGAGTATTGGTGCTTAACTGTGTGTTAAACTGTGTGTTATTGGATGCTAGCATGCTAGTCAGCTATGGTGTCATAGTTGGCTAGCTGAATAAAGTGGGTTTGAGTTTATTCCTTTAAACATTGAACAACTGTTCAGTGAAACAATTTTAGTTTCTGAGGTAGAAGTTTTTGGTGAGGGAGGCCCCCCTCTCTCCTCTCCCAGATGCTTAGCTCATTTCATTCCGATCTCCTCTGCATTTTTGTAGCCATTTGCTACAGCCTGTCAACTATGCCTCTGCCTATCCCTGTTCTCTCGTCTCTGCACAGGCTACACAAACAACGCACAACACCGCGCGGCTGCTGCCTCTCCAACCTGGTGGTCCCTGCTCGCACCCCTCACCTGGAGTTCCAGGTCGCAGGCAGCCTCTGGAACTGCCGTTCTGCTGCCAACAAAGCTGACTTCATCCCAGCCTATGCCAACCTCCAGTCCCTCGACTTCCTGGCGCTGACGGAAACATGGATCACCACTGAAAACACGGCTACTCCTACTGCTCTCTCCTCGTCTGACCATGTGTTCTCGCATACCCCGAGAGCATCTGGTCAGAGGGGTGGTGGTACAGGAATCCTCATCTCTCCCAAGTGGACATTCTCAATTTTTCCCCTAACCCATCTGTCTATCTCCTCATTTGAATTCCATGCTGTCACAGTCACTAACCCATTTAAGCTTAATATCCTTGTCATCTATCGCCCTCCAGGTTCCCTTGGAGAGTTCATCAACGAGCTTGACGCCTTGATAAGTTCCTTTCCTGAGGATGGCTCACCCCTCACAGTTTTGGGGGATTTCAACCTCCCTATGTCCACGTTTGACTCATTTCTCTCTGCCTCCTTCTTTCCACTCCTCTCCTCTTTTGACCTCACCCTCTCACCGTCCCCCCCTACTCACAAGGCAGGCAATACGCTTGACCTCATCTTCACTAGATGCTGCTCCTCTACTAATCTCACTGCAACTCCCCTCCAAGTCTCCGACCACTACTTTGTTTCCTTTTCTCTCTCGCTCTCCTCCCACACTACTCACTCTGCCCCTACACAGATGGTAATGCGCCGCCGCAACCTTCGCTCTCTCTCTCCCACTACTCTCTCCTCTTCCATCCTATCATCTCTTCCCTCTGCTCAATCCTTCTCCCTCCAATCTCCTGATTCTGCCTCCTCAACCCTCCTCTCCTCCCTTTCTGCATCCTTTGACTCTCTGTGTCCCCTATCCTCCCGGCCGGCTCGGTCCTCCCCCCCAGCTCCGTGGCTTGATGACTCACTGCGAGCTCACAGAACAGAGCTCCGGGCAGCGGAGAGGAAATGGAAGAAAACTAAACTCCCTACCGACCTGGCATCTTTTCACTTCCCTCCTCTCTACATTTTCTTCATCTGTTTCTGCTGCTAAGGCCACCTTCTACCACTCTAAATTCCAAGCATCTACCTCTAACCCTAGGAAGCTCTTTGCCACATTTTCCTCCCTCCTGAATCCTCCTCCCCCCCCCCCCCCCCCCCTCCTCTCTCTCTGTGGATGACTTCGTCAACCACTTTGAAAAGAAGGTTGACGACATCCGATCCTCGTTTGTTAAGTCTAATAACACTGCTGGTCCTGCTCACAACTGCCCTACCCTATGCTTTGACTTCTTTCTCCCCTCTCTCTCTCCAGATAAAATCCTGCGACTTGTGACTGCAGGCCGCCCAACAACCTGCCCGCTTGACCCCATCCCCTCCTCCCTTCTCCAGACCATCTCCGGTGACCTTCTCCCCTACCTCACCTCGCTGATCAACTCATCCTTGACCGCTGGCCATGTCCCTTCCGTCTTCAAGAGAGCGAGAGTTGCTCCCCTGCTCAAAAAACCAACACTCGACCCCACTGATGTCAACAACTACAGACCAGTATCCCTTCTTTCTTTTCTTTCCAAAACTATTGAGCGTGCCGTCTTTAGCCAACT